AAACAAAGAAAAATATAACTGTACTCTGACGCATAAGGGGATATGATCCTAGAACATCTTTAAAAAAATGTATAAAGAAGGACTCGTATGATTTTACGGAATTATTTGACAAATAAACTTCAATTATGAGAAATTAACTGCAAAACTATTCTAAATACAATTAATTAATATTATTTTCAGAAAATGAATATAATAACAATTATGTGATTGAGTAATTAAGTATATAAACATTCTGTGAATTAATCGTTAAAGATTAAAATTGGATTTTAGTAGATACATTTTTCACATTTGTTAATACTGTTTAAGTTATTACTATTCTGTTTTCTTATTGTTTGTTTAACTTGAAGGAAACGATAATTTAATTCTCTAACATTCATAAATTTTGCTTATTTAATATTTCTGATTTACTTGCTCCTTTAAAAAACAGATTTTTATGTTACTTTTGATAACTTTTCAAAAATAATCATTCTACCCACACTCATCAATAAAATATAGAAGTAATCGAATATTATAATAGGAATAAGGTTAGATAGCATAATATTTTAAAAGAATTGTATAAGTACTCTGATAAAATTTCATAGAATTTTCTCGGGTTACGAACTTTCAAGCGGTAAGTTGATGGAATGGCTGGGGGGGGGGGGAGCCATTTGGCCTGGGATTTCTATAATCTTAATTCATGGGCGAAGTATGTTTCTTGTGTCATTCTTATCCACTGAATTCTTGCTTGCTCCATCTCCGCAGGTGTCAGATGACCATTTGCGATTTGTTCCACCTTCAGACATGCAATGAATCTGATGCATGCTGCTGTTGTTCTCAATAGTGTTTTATTATTCACTCACACCTTCATTCATTCATTTTATGATCATTAACTATTTATTATATTATTACAGTAAATAAAGAAAAGAAAAAAAACACTGCATGTAGTATTGAATAATTGCATTGCCCCTTCCATTTGCCAGCAACACCTCCACCCACCATCATAAGGAGGTTTTAAGTCTGATCCCAGACAAGCATTCTTAAGACTTATACAAATATTAACGGTTATGATGCAAATATAATTATTAGATGATTAAATATTTTTTCTGTGTTCATCAAATTATTTACTAAAATCGAGGCAGGCTCTCTTAAAATTAAATTATGAAAGTTCGTAACCCGAGAAAATTCTATGAAATTTTATCAGAGTACTTATACAATTCTTTTAAAATATTATGCTATCTAACCTTATTCCTATTATAATATTCGATTACTTCTATATTTTATTGATGAGTGTGGGTAGAATGATTATTTTTGAAAAGTTATCAAAAGTAACATAAAAATCTGTTTTTTAAAGGAGCAAGTAAATCAGAAATATTAAATAAGCAAAATTTATGAATGTTAGAGAATTAAATTATCGTTTCCTTCAAGTTAAACAAACAATAAGAAAACAGAATAGTAATAACTTAAACAGTATTAACAAATGTGATAAATGTATCTACTAAAATCCAATTTTAATCTTTAACGATTAATTTACAGAATGTTTATATACTTAATTACTCAATCACATAACTGTAATTATATTCATTTTATAAAAAAATATTTAGTATTTAGTATTAAGAATAGTTTTGCAGTTAATTTCTCATAATTGAAGTTTATTTGACAAATAATTCCATAAAACCATACGTGTCCTTTTTTATACATTTTTTTAAAGATGTTCTAGGATCATATCCCCTTGTGTGTCAGAGTACAGTTATATTTTTCTTTGTTTTCGCTCTCTTTGTATCGTCAGTTGGAATTCTCCAAGTTTCTAAAGCTTTGCTCTCCCGGAGTTCTCGAAACTTCTAAACTTGAGACTCAAATGGCATGCAATGTTTTCCCCATAGCAACACCTATGTACTGTTGCCAGCTAAGTATGTTACCGCGTGGATATTTAAAGCAAGCACACCACGGGACGAGGCTTATAGTTACTCAGCCAGTAAGCCAATCAGTCCTGCTAGTCAGCCAGCAAGCTATTCGCCACACGCTCTCAAAGTATGGCCACCGAAGAAGGAAGTCTTTCCTCTTTCGTCTTTCCTCCTGTGCTGCAAGATAAAGGATTTGATACTATCGCCTTCAAATCAAGAAAGTTCCAGACTACAACCACAGTTCATCCATCCAGACGGAACATTCGGGATGGTGAACCATTCATTATAGAACAGGTCAAAAATACTGTTTCTCTGTGAGTAAACCAAGCCAAGGCATAAATCATTGCTAATCCTTACAAGATTAGCATGATGCTATTCTTAATATATCACAACCGTTACACACTAATAAGAGTGTACATAGTCAGTTGCTGATCCTTACAAGATCAACAACAACATCAAGGAGCATCATGTGTAGGTAAACTATTCACTACAGAATCAGTTTAAGCAACTCAATCGCATAGCATGAAACCATCCATCACAAATCCAACACAACAATAATGTAATTGTAAATAAACTATATTGAACGAAGAAGCGCACACTGTATTAATATAAAGCCTTTCACTTCAGTCCATCCCAAGCATCCGCTAGGACGGACGGCAAATATTATAAGGCTATAAAATCACATACTTTCAAACACAATCTCATGAATGAGCTTATTAAAATTACACAATTTATTTTATAAAAAATATATTTCAATAATAACAGAAATTATAATTTGTAAATGTCTGCTTTTAAAACTTGTTTGGAAATGTTACACTATTGATTCTTTACGAATTTTTAAATTATTATCTACATTATTCTATAATATAATAGAAAATTGTATAATTATTTAAATATAATAAATAATAATAAATAATGATTTAGATATATAAATACATTCATAGTGAAAACGTAATGGTAATCTACATAGAATATAGATATTTGTATATTTTTATAAATGTTTTTAAATTATTTCAATCAACTTACTTTTGGAAGAGAAGTAAGTCTTTTCGGGGCAATAAATGTAAGCAATTGTAAAGAAAGTTGTTGCCAAACTACCGCCGATTCACAAAATGAACATTCAGTTACATTATTACATATATGTTGTGTGTTCCAATAAACTATGTTAGCAGATTTCAGAAGATGACATGCATCTCTACATATCCAACTATTTACTCCAGTATGCTTATCAATATTTTGTAAATCCATCTGTAATTAAAACAAAATCGGAATAACAATTTATAACTTGTAATACAAGTTAATTCATAAAATTCAATAATAAAGTGTTGATCTTATCCCTTACGTTCTTCTTTATTATTTAAAAAGCGTGTATTTGAGATTGCGAGACCTTTTTCAATGCAATAAAACATCTGGTAAAGCAACATCATTAAATTGTCGTTAGTCTTCAATGAAACTCCTGCTCTTTTTGTATCAAGCTAAAAAGTCATTAAACTCGATCATAAAGCTCGAAAAAAACCCTCTCAATGACGTTAGAGACATGAAAAGGTCAGTACATCTGGAAAACCCCGAAAATCAGTTATGCTAGTTACTTCGCATTGTCAATACGTTCATTGTTTGGCGCGTTAACGAACTAACTGTTTACTGGCACAAACGCGTCGGCTCTACTTGTACTACAACAATTGGAAGTACCAGATGTAAGTACAATTCTTGATCATAAAAAAACGTATCCTACTTTTCACTGCAACCCAAAACCTCGGTATGTGCGTCATCAGGCAATAGGCATACATGCGCATCAGCATTTTAAGACAATACTTACACGCCGAATCTTGCTGATAGCGCTAGCCAATCGACAGCGCTGCCAGCGGACTTCCTAAATCGATAAGCCTTAGAGAAAGGAGAGAAGACGAATAGGAGACGCCCCCCTTCCAGATACTTTCCCGATTTGAGCATATTCCGATTAGATTAGATACAAAAAAGAAGAAGAGGTTGCTAGCGGAACCGGGTCAGTGAACTATTCAAGAAGGACAAAGGCAATGCACCAACACTTATTCCCACAAGAAAAGTCACGACTTACTCTCACGAAAAATCACAACCTATTTTCAAGAAGGAGGAACAAAGAAAAGTCGAACAGCTGAGGCTTACAAAATATCTTTCTACGTCTGTGATTCAATACCCAGTTACATTTAGTCTCATCAAGCACATATTGCACAAGAACTGAGATTCTCGTCATTTCAGCAAAGGAGACAAAAGAAAGTTGAAGTGCAAGCAGTTCGTGCATAGAAGCTTCCCATCAAGCCTGTAAGGAGAAAGTAAACATGTTCAACAGACTTCAAGTAAGTCCAGCCTTCAAGTGTAGATTCTTCACTTCACGGCTTACTAAATTACGGACCGCCAGTTGTCCGAGTCCAAAAGCTTCCCGCGCATGCTCACTTCGCAAGACCAGCAATTCGCGCCATTGAGTGCGCACAATTTCCTCGAACCTCCATCTCAGGCACGTGCTCACTCACACGGCACACTATTCAGAAACAATTGCAACACGTGCCAAGATCACGACACGAACATGAATTGTAGTGTTCGTTCAAAGCACAACAAACAATCATAACCTCTCAAGTAATATTCAATAGATTATAACCTATCTCGTTTCACAGTAAATCATTATCTCACCAGTTACGTCCAGAGAATAAGGAATTTATCAGCCTTTAATTAATCATCCCTAAATTGGAAGTAAATTGGAAAATAAATGGAATAAACAGTAATAATAATTATATGTGTTAATTATTGAATCAGTGCATTAACCCTCAGACTTTCCCAAGCATTCTCTCACACAACATCTAGTGGTTTTATTAGTTAATTTCTAAACAGCGTGCAAGATTTTAAAAAATAATATAGTCTATCACGGACATATTTATTAGTATTTTTATTACAAGTAAATTATTATTAGTATTTAATTATTATTACTTAATATTATATTATGCAATATTGTTCATTTCAATGTCATATATACAGATAATCATCTGTATTTACAGTCCTAATGCATATATATACATTTTGATTATTTTTGCCTATGTAACAAAAAACAAATATTTATATCTTTTTACCATGAAAAATGTGTCAAAATGATTATTACATACAATTTTCCCGATTTGAAGGAATTCCTACATATTACTTCAACGAAGTTAAAGTTAAATACCATCATTCTCTTTCTAAATACTATAGGAATAATGTAAATGATAAGGCGTTCCATAAGCATTGAATTAAATTTTTAATCTGAGTTCATAACGCTTCATAACCTAATTTTATAAAAAAATTGTAAATAAGTAGCTTTTCCCTTTATCTGGTTAATATGATTTCTCTTGTCATTTATTTTTTATTTTATATTTTTATATTTTTCAGAAAATAATGGTGCAATGCTTTCAATGTAAATAATATCAAGTGTTATTAAATCCATCTATTTGGTCATGATCGAACGACATTAATAATTATTCAAAATTTAATATTTATAAACATTCATAATCATATATATTATAATTACCTGGCATTTTTCTGAACTAAATATCAATAATCTTTTTATATGTTCTTTAGTTTTCTATTAAATATAATAGTCTCTGTTTTCTTGCAATCTTGACTCTGCAGTAGTGGACCTGTAGAGTGTATGCGCTTGATGGCGCATAGTGTGAGCTTCTCTTGAGTATGTTCCGTGCGCTTAGGGTACGAGTATCTCGTGTTAGTATAAGGTTTGATTGTAGCTTTCGTAACGGCCTTGATCCTTGAAATATGCTCGGTGATACTGGATACTTGAGAGATCTTGGTTTGAAGTTGGTAGCTATGGCGCCTTGAGTTGTGATGCGGTTGCAGACGGAGACTTGGCTTCGGATTCTGCTGATGGAGCTTATTTACTTCTTCCATGTTGCTTGCGGATTTCAGTATGAGTGCTTAAATCCTGTAGTCATCTCTTTTAAATACATTCCACTGATTGTGGTATTCACATAGGAACTCCTACTTTCTTGGCGTTTCCATTTGGAGCACTTACGGCATCGGCATCGCTACATGGAGCGCTCCGGTAGCGTTTCTAGCGGCAGCGCCTTCAATCAGGAAGCTCAGTCTTCTCTTGGTCTTTCCGCCAAGAGAAACTCCCGACTGAAACGTCCTTGGATCACCTTGGAATCGCATCTAGAGGCAGCATGGCTAGACTTCACAACAGTGATGGCGAGTTTATACCGTTAGATTTAAAATTTTGGGTGTAACGACTATTCCTAGATACCTAATGCACTGAGCTTTCCCGAAGTCTAACAACTTATTTTGCAGATATTTAATGACACATTTGCCACATGTTCAATGAGCAGAGATTTTCAAAAGTCTAACGACTGTTGAATCAGCTTGAGTTTGCTATTGTTACCGACTTGGGAAGGTTCTCGCAATCTCGAACACATTGGATTGTAGATGTAGAATTTTTTAGAGACTAATAAAGCAATATTCATGCACATGAGATGAGCTTCATATTTCTAACTGTATTATAAAGGCCAAAAAAGAGTAAAGATATGACTTTAAAAATTAATAACATTTCAATTACTAACTCATCTTTAATAAATTAGTTAAAATTATCTTTATAACTTAAACGAGCTTACATAGTTAATTAAAATTTACACAAAATTTAAAAGTCGTTAAATTGGTAATTTTCGAATTATAATCCTTTAAATCAATAAATTTATTCATTAATTCGGTGAAAGCAAAGCCTTGGAAGATTCGAGAATTCTATCGAAGTTGCTATACGAAAACTAAGCAGCCTTGCAGAACGTTCGAAAATCTAAATTTTAGACAATATTCGAGAATTTTCCATGTTAAATGTTTATAAAATTGGAGAACTAGAAAGCTTATAAAATTTCCGAGAACAGGCGGTTTCGAAAAAATGCTCTAATTCCGAATATATATATATACATATATATATATATTCATATTATTTATTATAATTTTACATACATACTTGTTTTAATAAAATATCGACCATTAGAATATAACATGAAAGATTCAATTCTACAGGCGTTGGATTAGTTTCATATCTACGCATTGGAATATCATCATCAGAAAGAGGTGTACATCTTCCAGAAACACATTCATTTATTCGATCTAAAAAGTGTAAGTTAATCAATATATCATAAAACAACTGTAACAAGTTATTTTTAAATTATATAGCGTTTTAATTGTACATTAATCAATAATAAACATAATAAATAGTTTAATCAAAATAATTATTAATAATAAATTAATAATAAAATAAAATAATAAAATTGAAGATTATATAAATTATAAGTCATTCTAAATTCTAAATTTAATTTGTGTTATATGCGTATTTCAATCACAAGATACATAAATCTGTACGACAAAAGATAACTTATATATTTAAAACTTGTTATAAACATTTTTAGATAATCATAAACATTTTTCTAACGATTAATAATAGTTCGAAACATTATTGTAAAATTAATACTGTTAGAGATTACAAGAACATTTTTTAAATCGTTAAACATCTTACAATTCCAAAGTATTAATTAATCGTTCGATTCCTGAAAATGCTTACTAATAGAACATCTGGCATGAAAAGAATGAGTTTCTTGACTGAAGACTATGCCGCGAGAGGCGTTGCTCTCGCCCATGTATCGGTAAGCTTTCTGATTGGATACAAGAAAAGGGAAGGGATCCAAAGGTGAATTATTTAAGAAGGGCAAACACAATGTTTATTATTTGGTAAATTATTATAATATTGCACTGTTGTTTAGAGGAAAGATTATTCTATTGTAGTAATGAGGGTGTTTCCTTTTGTTCTTGATTATCCTAGATTTTATGGATATTACTGTGTATCTTGAAATTGAGGTTATGCTGATGTTATAAATATCAGCCTGTGTAGTCAATCATGCTCATGAGGTAGTATGAGAAGATGATGTTTGAATCAAGTATGCTTGATTGATGGAATAACTATACTTGATATGGTATAAGATGTTTATGGAACTTGGTGAGTAATCAATTATGTCTTTAATTATTTATGGGGGCAGTAGAAGAGCTAGTCACACACAAGAGTTATTAACGATAAGCCTTCGAGCTCTTGAAAGAATTAATGATATGTATTTATAGTCGATTAGTCGATAGTATGTTGTCTCGCCTAGACAATGTGCTTGAGGAATTGCGTCACTTGTGTCGATTCTTGGGGGCCTGTACGGTGTTAAAGCGTTGGTTCGAGAGAGAACGTAAGATTGCCCGATCTATTTTTGTGGTCGGTGTGACTAACTTATTTAAAAATATAAAAAGATGTACCCTGTAAACTGCTGACAGGGTGTGTTGATTTACTGCGTAGCTGATGTGTCCCTTATGGTTATTATTCTTAATTCTTAATTTGATTAATATACTTATGCACACGTGTATTTTTAACTGGCTGCCGAATATATGGTCACGTGTCATCGTGACAGTATATACTAAAAACACTGAGCTGTACTGACAGTTAAGTGGGCGCGAGGTAGTATTACAATGAGCGTATAAGCCTTTTGAATACGCCCACGAACCGAAGACTTGACCGTTCCTTGAAGGCTCTGCTGAAAATATCGACCGTTCCATGGCGGTCCTGCTGAGGGCAGATCGAGAACCGTGTGCCATGGCTTCTACTGGGAGATGGTTAGATCGGTTCACTATGGTCGGTTCACTGCGGTCGGGTCAGGGTAAGATGTTAGCCGCAAGCGCAGTTGAGCGAGGGTGGTTCGGCAAGAGAGCCGTTTAGCAGGAGCGCTATTTAGCAAGAGCGCCGGTATATCCACGCGGCGGCTCACTTAGCTGTCAACAAAGCATCGTCGTTGTTCCACTGGATCTTTCACGAAACGTAGAAAGAATAATCTAGATTCGACGAAAATTCAAATTCGACGAAAGAAAAATTAGGGCGTAATACCGATAGAAAACTTCCAGACGATGTTATTATCCGAAGACCATATAATCATTACAGGCCACTTGAAACCAAAACATAACAAGTAGACGAAAAATTCTCGTATAAGTGTTTACAGAAATCTGAAATCTAAAACCGACAAACGGCGGTCTTGAAACTGGCTCGATCCCATCTACATTAACTATCACAGGATAAACTAACTGATAATAAAGAATGATACTCACTGAATTGCCTAATCAATTATTATTAAGCTTTCAGGCAACAAATACCTAACAATCGTTAATCCCAATAACGAATATTGACAAGAGTCCGTAATACTGCATAATAAGGCACCCACCGCGTTAATAATAACGAATGACGTCTTCATAATAATCTATTGTTTTCTTGTTTAAAATTAATTTCTTTTATAAAATATTAATTACTAATTCCATCTTTAATTCATTAAATAATCTAATTAAGACATTTAGAACTACATATTCTAGAAAAGGAACACTGCGAATTATAACAAAATAAAAGAACAATTATTGAAGATGCATATAGTATCTTGTAATGAAAAGCGTTGAAAAATGCGTAAGTATTTTAAGCCTTCTATTTTACAGTATCATCGGCCACCATATTTTTATTGTTTGAAAACTTCTAAATACTAAATATAGTTCACTCATTGGGAAATAAATTTCTGTTAATAGGATTTCGATTCTTATGATCGTCAAAACAGAAAGGCATCGTATATAGATTATTTTTCCTTTAGAAATAATTTCGAGAAACATTTTAACTTCTATATTATCTGCTGATTATAAATTTATAAATATATCTTGTACAAAACTTTTAGAAAGACAAAGATTGAGTAAATTAATTTGTCTATTGTTTGTGATTGTGTCTGGGTACGGTACGGCTTCCCATTGTCGTTTTCGATTTTTTAACGCCCTCACTGGAGTCATTATGACTGTCTTCAGTTGTTCGAACTGGGAGTAATTGGTGGATTTACCTAATGATTCTTCCCACTGTTCTCCTGTTCGCTGAGTCCGTCTTTGCGCTATTTTGTGGACAGTTATGCAGTCCCACAGGGATGCCTTCTAATTCTAATAATTGCAGTCTTTTTAATAGGTTACTAGCGTCACGAATGAAGTCTTCAAGTGACTCTGCCTCTTATGCCACTTGTGTAGTGTTGGTAAGGAGTTGGTCTAGGTGGGATTGCACGTATGATCGTGAATTCTCATATCTTTCCGTTAGTGCTTCCCACGCAAGAGCAAGGGAGCCATTTATAATAGGAATTCGTCCAATTGATTTTAGTACTATTCCTTCTAGAGAGATTCGGAGGCATTGTAGCTGTTGCACCTTACTGAGCCTTTTGTTTTGTGAGATGACTGATTGGATCAGTCTCGGAAGGTTCGCCAAGCCAAGTAATGGCCAGAGAATTTCGGAAGTGGTAATTCTGAAAGGCAGGCGATTTCCGTTGGACCTCCCATCGTTGGAATATTGTCTTCGGACGTCCTCGGGGCTCTAGGTAATGTTTGAGATGACTCCTTTAGCTCCCACCACAATTTGTCTATTGATTGTATGAGGGAATAATTATTGAGTTCTACCCCTTGTGCATTTTTTTGAAGTACTCGTGCTATGATGGTTGTCAACCATGAGGACTAAAGATAGGCTTGATCTTTATTAAAAGCCTTGTGAAGATCGTCGACTTGTTTTCTTGCGCCCTGGACTTCGTCCATGGAGATATTCAGATGAGAGGTTGGGAGTCTTTTCCCTACCTCCTTGATCGCATTGATGCGATTCCATTGCCCTGGAACCTTCAGCATAAGCTCTGAGGGCAATCGCACAGTGGTGGCGCTGCGAGTGGTCCGTTCTTCTCCTTCTGTCATGTCAGACCGGCATGTCAGAGCTCGTGGATTTCTCTGATTCCTTCTTCTCGTGGTTTGGTATTTTTCGTTGTGATGGTTCAGTATCCAATAAAAACCACTCGAGTGTTCGCCAGTGAGAGGATTTGTTGGTCCTAATTGTCGCTCGGCGGGCGCAGCCAAAACTCAGTCGGTAATAGTCGTTCTGAAAGTAGTTATTTTTTAACGGTGTAATCTTAAATAGTCCTTCCTTGTGTTAACACTGAAGTAATACACTAGCTTCACTCATTCAGCGCGAAGGAGAAAATGTTCGGAATTCCGCTTACCCGGCGTTTGAGAGATCAAAATAATTGGATTAGACCATGACTCCGTTTTACTGGTGGAAAAGTGGGGATAAGTTAGAGGTTCATGCATCAATTCAGTATAAGCACGATTGGTTTTCGTGACATTTATTTTCGGTTCAATTACAATTATGCAAACAATTCACCGGTAGTTATGAGTGTTGTTGAGATTGTCCAGTGGTCTTGACAGTTGACACAGAGAAAATGCAGGACCACGTCCGGATGTGCAAAGGAAGCCTGGTCTAGCTGGAGGCGTATTGCAAGTAGCAGCGCCCAGTAGCAATATGACGGAAATTACTCTCGCTAGAGGCACGTGGCTGGTTGCGACGCCCCATAGGGGTATAACTGAGAACCAGTCTTGCTGGAGGCATACCGCGAACAGTTACACCCCGTAGCAGTATAAGAGAGAATTAGCCTTGTTAGCGTTGCGTCCGTTAGCGGTATAAATGAGAATCAGTATCGATGAAGGCGTACCACGAATTATTTTGCGCCCGATAGCAATAAATGGTAATTAATTATTAGCAATATACCTTGCACAGATCGCTTTTGACGGAGGCGTGTTGAAATCGTAGAACTTCACCAGATAAGACTTGCACAATTTCTTCTAGACTCACTCAACAAAACTGTTGGACTCGACGCGCGCTACCCTTAATATATGCGAACGCGTTGTCTTTATTCTGGCAATAATGACTTAGAGTTACTATGCCGAAGTTTCCAGCGTGACGTTAGAAATTTCACTTCCAGAAATTTCTTTCGAGTTGTCGGCAGACAAGTTTTTGCCGGTTAGAGACTTCTAGCATAGTTGCTATGAGGTTAATGGGTAAACATTGCAGGACGTTCTCAAGCAAAGTCTTTAAATTTATCGAGAACTTTCGTAGCTAACATTTACGACATTATGAGCTATAACGATTACAAATTTGTAGAATTGAATTTTTAATGTTAAGTGCTCCAATCATAAACAGTCTACTGATATTACTTTAATATTTTTAAATAATCTTTTAATAGAATAAAGCTGAAAATATAATTAGTTTTAAAAAATCAAATTTGTATCAGTATCTTCATTAATCAATTATTAATCAGTATCAGTCATCGTATATTAGATTCTATCGAGATTTTATTGCTTTTGGATCCTTCAATCTTAATATTATGTAGATATCAGTTTTTTATTATTGGTAGCTTTATATAAACAATAGCATATCACAGCAATTCTTTTTAAGGAGTTTTTCTAATTTTTCACATAAGTGTACTTTCCAGTTTAAAGAGAATTTTAGTCTTACCATCTATTGAAAGTAAAATATATCTTACAAATATAAATTTCATACATATTAAGGTATTATCTTTTATTATTCTATTATAATTTTATATATATAAATCATTATCATAAGTTTAAATTTGTAAATTAATCTTTATTTATTTATGAAGCAGTATAACGATTACGTAACTCCTATTCATATTCATATTATCAGTATAATATTCATTCGATTTTAATGAATATAATATAATAATAAAATAACAAAATATCCTTTTGTTTGTAATAGCATACAGTCTATAAGAATATTTAAATATGTGAATCATATTTTATTATTAAACTAATCTTTTATGCATTGGTATTCATTATATAAGAAACATAAAGGTAGATGAAAACTGATTTAATACAAAATCTCTTCGGGATTGAAGTAATTTTCAAGACCGTTGGCTCTCGGTATCGCTAGTCCCTCTAGCTCTCAAGTTTCTGTAAACACTTACAAGAATTTTCAAGTACTTGTTATATTATCGTTTCAAATACCTTATAATGTTTATATGATCTTTACATAGTAACGTCGTTTGGAATTCTCCAAATTTCTTAAGCCTTGTTTTTCTTGGAGTTTTCGAAACTGCTAAAGTTTTAGTTTTGCGCCTCATGTGAGATTGCAGTATAGCAACAACGATGCTTTGTTGCCAGCGAAGTAAGCTGCCGCGGAGATATTTAAGGGCAATACACTACAGCATACCCTCATTGTATTTTATTCAGTCAAACAGTTATTAGTAATTCGACTATACTATTCAGCCAGTACTTTTCGGCCATACACCAGTCACTCAGTTACACTCACACAATGAAGGCATCTCAAGGAATACACGTTTTAATTATCAAGTGTGGTAGAACTTACAAGCAGTCAATGGTGCTGACTGCATTCCGAGAAACTATACGGCAACAACAAGCATAGTCTCAAGGTATTTCCTTACATTTTGAGGCCATATGTCCTATATATTTAAATATAAATTTCATATAAATTGAAGAAAATTGTACACTTTTGGATTTTCAATAAACGTATAACATTAACAAAAATGTCAACAACATTTTTTTGGTATTGTTTCGTTTAAAATGAAAAATTTAGTCAAATCATTAATAAATCTTTCTAATTTGTTCTATTTATATATATCTAAACGAAATTTCAGATTCAAATGTTATCTGTCAAAAAATATTTCCTTATATTATAATGGTGAATACTAGGTGCCCAAAAAAACATCAATTTAAATATTAAAAAGTAATATTTTTTTGAATATAAACTTTCGGAATTATAAATTGGACTTAAGGACTTGCGACTAATAATTTACCTTAAAAAATCCAAGGTTTGTTTTACTTTTTCATAAGTCCTTTTGCGTTTTTATCTTTTAAATGATTTTGATTTTGTAATTGAATACTGTTCGAGATTTCGAGAAAAGTTTCTTGCCACGACTTCCCACGGTCGCTGGACACTCGAGCCGGTCAATACATCTGGAAAACTCTAGTGAATAGTTAGCTTATTTATTCTTGCTTATCTAAAAACGTGCTCATGCTTTTCGGGTGCAGTAAAACTATTATGTTTTTTACTGCCAAGAAGACGTAGATTCTGAAAGAGTATCAGATATACGTAAAATGTGGAGTGAAAAACATTTCCTAAATTTCACTGCATCCCAAAACCCCGCACGTGCGTCAACAAGCAATAGGCGTACGTGCGCACTCGGCTTTTTAAGATTATGCTTGCATTGTTCATAACTACGCCGCATCTAGCCGATCGCATTGGATGATTGACCACGCCCAAGAGGACCCTTCATCTAGCCACGTCCCAGAGAAGGGAGAGGCGATCAATAGTAAAAGCTCCCCACTTTCCGACACTTTCCCGATTAGCATATTCGGGACTGAGCCCGGAAGGAAGTGGACATGATGGCGTGGATAATCAATCATGCCGCCCAACGTCAACCTCTGATTGGCTAACTGAAAGAAGAAGGGGTCCCAAGTGGAACTGGGTCAGTGAACTATTTAAGAAGGACAATGTAATGTAACATCACTTATTCCTATTCTTAGTCTTCTCCTGATTGAAAGGATAAGTCATGACTTACTCTCACGGAGGAGGACCAGAGACAAAGTCGTTCAGCTGAGGCCATCAAGCCAACAAAGAGGGAGTGGGAGAATCATGCTACACTGCAAGTAAGTCCTTACCGCTAGTACTGATTCTTCATCTCTCTGCTTTACTCTGAAAACGGAGAGCTGAAAGTCTGATTACTAAAGCTTCCCATGCATGCTCTAAAAGCAAGACCAGCTGTTGATGCCACACAGTGGTTATTTCATTTCCTTCAACAATCGGCTATTCGCGCCACACTGGTAGAGCACATTTCAGCAACGATCAGTTGTTGACGCCACAGGTGGCGCACAGCTACGCATAACCTCTATTTTAGGCTCTTACACGGCCCATTATTCAAAGGCAACTGCAACACGACAATATTTTAGTGTTCGATCAGAGCACTACAATGATCATAACCTCCAAAGTGATAATATTCAATAGATTATAACCTATTTCTTTTCACAGTATATCATAATCGCACCAGTTGCATGCAGAGAATAAGAAATTGATCATCCTCTAGTTCTCCAATAAAAGCATATCTCAACGGCACAAAATTATTAAGAAATATAAAGGTCATTTGTAATCTCATCACGGTTAATGATCCCAACTTGGAAATAAAGTGAAATAAATGGAATAAACAGCAGTAAAAATTAAATGTATTAATTATTGAACAGTGCATTAACCCTTCACTTGCCCAGCATTTTCCCACACAACATCTAGTGGTTTTTTGTTCTAAGTTGATTTTACACGTTTGGCTAACGAGTCAGGATAGTGGAGTTAATTTTTTGAACAAATACTTTTATTTTAAATTTAGTTTGTAAAGTTCATAGTTTTTCACTTCAATTAATAAAAATTTATATAATTTATAATTATAATATATAACTTATCTAATATTTAATTTCTAATTATAATATATAAATTATATAATATATAATTTATAATTATAATATATAAATAATGTAATATATAATTTATACAATTTTATAATTGACACATACACATATATATACATTGAAATAGAATGATATTTTATTCACATGTAAAATAGTTAAGGAATTTTTCTAAATAAATCAAATATATGTATAGGCAAGGATAATACACGATTTTAAATGGTTTTTATAAAGGATATACTCTGAAAATAGTTTGAAGCTTAATAATTGATAATAATTGATACTTTTTACTATTATAAAATAGTTATTAAAATTTTATTATCACTTATTATATTATTAAATATATTTTGTATACGTACATATGGGTGGATCTTTGAAACTTTTTATTTCACCTGCCATTGTTTCTATATCAAAATCTTTAGAATGATATAAAATAAGATTTTCATTGATTGAAGTACCATCATTAAACATAGAAAAAAGATGTGGTAGTGGGATTGTTATTTCCAATATTGTCAACGTTTGTAACCAATTCAAAGCTTGTTGTTCTATTTTGGCATTGGTGCTCTTAAATCTTTTGACAATAAAATTGTATATTTTTTTCGTATCAAATCCTAAAGGACTCATATCAGGATCGAATATTTTACTATTGAAAATATTAGTAAATTTTAGTTGATGCGCTTACTAATATTAATATAAATTTAAGTTTAATATTTTACCAAAGTATTATTTTCAATTGTTGTAATTCGTGAACAGGAGTGTCATTTACAATAGCTTCCATCCAATGTGGCATAACATAGTCCCAAATATCAGGCGTAATTATTTCATAAGGTACTAAACAAAATAATCTGCTTAACCCATCTTTAAGATGTGAAATTCGAGACGCCAATTTTTCCCTTTAAATAAATATATCAATTAAAAATAATTCATATAAATTTAGTAAAAATTTAGTAACAATATAAATTTTAAACTTTTAAAAAAATAAATATACTATTTTTATTTATTTCAAATAGAATTAGCTTTTGGACAAAAAGATTTAAACATAAATATCGACGCAATACGTATTTCTTATATACCATAATAAAATTTGAAATTTTAAAATAACATATATCTGTATTAAAATATTAATTAGTTTTTATTAATTAGCTTTATAATAATTTGCCGTCCGCCCTAGCGAATGCTTGGGTAGAATTTAAGTAGAAGGGCTGTAGAAATGTACAGTGAGTGCCGACTTCCTTAATATATGGTTTATTTAACAATTACATTATTGATGAGCTGAATTGACTTCTCATAGGAGAGTGTGAACTCTATCCCTTCGCAAAGATGCAGTTGTTCCTTGGTGATGGTGACGATGGTGTTGATGAATTCACTTCTCATAGGAGAGTATGAACTATGTTCAACCACAACGATGCAGTTGCTACTTGTTGATGGTAACAATGTTGATACTAATCTTGGATCAGCAGCGGATTGAGCATACTCCTTGGTAAGGAGCATGGCTTTTGAAATGTAAATTGTATCCTTTGCTAATGTTGTAAGGATTAGCAAAGAATTGAACACACTCCTTTGAAAGGAGTATGACGCAATTGTGTAATAATTACCCTTAATAGAAACTAACGGTATACCTTCGTGATAAGCAGTACATCAACCATGCTTCTTGTAGTCGAATATTTGCTTGTAATGCAGTCAACACCCTTGATTGCTTGTTAACTGATGTGCACTGGAGAATCGCGTGTGTTACTTCTGTAATGGCTTCACCGGGAGAGCCTGATTCTTCTATGGCATCCCCGATAAAAGAGCGCGTAACTTTTAAGGATCAAGAATATATTGTGTATACTCCTTGGTAAGGAGTATGGCCCATGAAATGCAGAAAACATGGCCTTTGCTAATTTTATAAAAATTAGCAGAAAATTGTGCACACTCTACAATAAGACGGACGGCAAGTGAAATGCTATTAGTGGTGCTAGTCTTTACTAATGTTGTAAAGATTAGCAAAGAATTGAGTACACCCCTCAGTAGGACGTGTGGCAAGTAAAATGTTATTCTAACAGCGATACAGTTGCGTTTACCTAATACTATGATGAATAGTTACTTGAGAGAAGGACTACAGACATACTTTCGTGATAAGGACTGCTTCGACGCTATGATTCTTGTAGTTGTACATTTTCTTGTAATGCAGTTAGCAATCTTGACTGCTTGTTAACCGTTGTGCACTTGAGAATAGAAACATGTATTCCTTGTAATGACCTCACTAAGAGAGGCTGTTATCTTTATTGGTGTCACCACTATGAGAGCGTTGTGACTCTGCTAAGACAGAGCGTGTTCCTGAGTGACTAGCTCATTGCTGAGTAACTTATGGCTGAGTAGCTTCTATCTCGTGGTGCGTTTACCTTAAATATCCATAGCGCAGCTTTATTAGTTGACAATAAGGAGGTGATTGTGGTGCTTGAAACAATGGCTGCAATTGTAGTGCTAGAAACAATGGATACGATTGTGCACTTGTTTTTCCTTACCTCCAATGACCCTTGTAGGATTTCCCATTAATTATAACCGTTGCAGTTTTTCCCAAAATGATAACGGTTGAGGTTTTCCCTGAAATGATAGCCGTTGGGGATTTCCCGAAATGATAGCCATTACGGCTTTCCCCGAAATAATAGTCATTGGAGATTTCCCAGATAATGATAACATTTTAGAGATTCTCGGAATCTCGAACACGCATATTTAATTATTTATTGCTAGCTAAAAATTGCTTGTTTAGTAATATAAATAATATTGTATTATACTATGTAATCAATATAAATATAATTAAAAAAAATGAATTTCATTTTTCGTTTGATACCATAAATATTATATCACCAGTATTATACTTATTTTAATATTAAAAATTCAAATAACATTTATAAAAATTAATACATTACCAGTGACCGCCTACTCTAACATAATCTAATGGATGCGGTAGAAGACAAGAAACAAAAATATTATAATATTTTTGCTTTATTTCAAAAAGCCAAGTACGGACATATTCTATCTTGAGTTTCTCTAGCATACTCTCTATTTGACCTGTCAATAACATTAAAAATATTTAAATTATAGTATTGAAATTATTGCGAGTCCATAGTATAGTAATTCTAAACGATATTTAGCAATAAAATCAATTAAATTTCTAATAAAAAAATTCGCAAAAAATAAAATTTTTGAAAAATAATTTAAATATTTTAAAAATGTTACATAGGTTATATATTTTTTACTATGTATTATATTTTATATTTAAATATAATAATAATAGATTATATACTATCCATTCTATCCATATTTTACATAAAATTTCTATTAGTATATTAACTTTTTAATGTACACCAAGTCAGTTTTCTCGGTATATAATGTGAAGTTTAGAAAGATATAACATTTCTATTTAAACTATTTAATATCAAACAACATTTGAGTTACCAACAGAAAATACCAGATTAATAAAACTTTTTAATACCATCAAATGTGTATGTTGTTATATGAAACCAATGAAATAACATTGATAATAATCGTCCAAGTATTTCTATTTGTAATTCTTTATCTGGTGTACATAACCCCACAAGTAACCAAACACCATAACGACCTAGTAATTGTCGTTCATCTATTGTTGTAACATCGAAATTTTCGGTACGACTTCCAACACTGCTTCCTGTTGTATTAAGACTACTGGCTTTTATTGAATAATTTTCAAAGATTTCATCATTACTATTTGATATGACCGGTTCTGCTTCTTTTAGTAAACTGAAAAATACATACATTTATAAATATTTGGGTACTTTTTGTTATTTAACTTCTAGATTGAGGTATATATTATATGTTTGAATAGTTACAATCTATTAAACAAGTTAACTGATATAACAAGCTACTAACTTTGAAAACATAATACACAACACTTATATTTCTGTTTTTATTTGCAACTATTTTTCAGTTTTCAATATAAATTTGGAATGTAAGAACTGCAGTTAGGAGCAGTAGAGTATTTCCTGAAAATAAATACTATGTAAAAATGAGGAATCATGAAATCAAAACATTGACTTTCAAGCATTTAGTAATTATTGTTAATAAAGCAAACTATTGCAAAAAAAACTAGTTATTACTTTATCTAATGCTTAGATACAATATACTATTTAATCATTCCATGCTTAATTATATACTATTGAAGTATTTTCGATAATTTCTAAAATTTATAGATTTTTATTTTACGATTTGATTATATATTGATTTACCAAAGCTAGTCAAAAGAAATTGTTAAGATAAATATAACGCATCTCGCATTAACTTGAGAGAAAATATGTTTGGTTTATGCAGTCCACAATAGCTGAAATGTAATTAATTTACTCACAAAAAATTATTTATAATAACTTAAAAAAATTCATACAGTTAACACTAATTATAAACAAGCTATCAATGTGTAAAATAGTTCGTGTATTTCAAATTTTTTACAATAATTATATGAAAATTTATGAACTATATCCAATTCATTTTTATTTTGATCAGTTCATTTTAATTTTACTCGGTTGAACTTATATTTTAATACTAAACTTAACAAAAGCGCTTACAAGAATTGAGATGATATTATATATATTAGATAAGGGACGTACATATCCCATAAACTATAATTTGAACAAGTAGTAATGAAATCATATGAAAGTATCTCATTTTTATGACTAATACGCTGTATATCCTTAAAATGAATTTATAATATCCATATAATATTTAAGACAAACAGTAACATTTAAGACAAATCGTATTAATACGATATGAAAAAATTATTAAGAATGCGTGTAAATAGTAAACTAATAAATGACAGAAACTATCAGTAAGGTTCATATTGATAAGGCTATAAAATCTTGCGAAAAAGATTTTCATAGTAAAATCTAAATATTGAAAATAATAATTAATATATCTTTAATATATAATTAATATATGAAACGAATATATCTCAATATTTCTGTATTTAATTTAGAAATAGAAATTTTAGTATTTTAATTTATGTCAATTTATTAATTAAATTAAATGAATTAAATGAAATAAACTTTTATATAGAGATTTGAATTTCTACATAATGTGTACTTATTTAAGAACTTAATATATACATAATGTTGATATATTTGAAATTAAACAAATGATATTTAGAAATTCAATAATTTACATAAATAAAATATGAAATAGTCAGCGGTATTAAAGACTCAAGCATTAATACTATATTCAAAAATTATAAAAAAAAATTTCTTAAAATATTATAATATACCCAAACAATATAATATAGAATCACGTATTCATGTTTTAAATGAAAATGGATATATAAATAGTTATAGATACGTGTAAAGACACTTGTAGGGAATTACTCTAAGAATATGAAGTTAATTGTTAGTTTTACAATTCATTATTTAAATTTATACATTTTTGGCTATTGTAATAAAAACTAAATCTAGCAAAATATTTTCGTAAGAATATAATTATAGTTCTTAAAGATAATGTTGAATTGAATAATTATAACTTTTTAGCTTTTTTTTTAATTGGATTCCGAAAGAGTACATGATAAAATTCCTTGACATTATTTGTATTGATATTCTTTTATTCATGCCTCTGATATAAGATAATTATTACACTAATTCTTTAGGAACTAAGATATTAGGATAAGGTATTATTATATATGTTATTATATTATATTATTACATGCATTATTACAATATATTTGTACATCAAAACCTTTTATGTCAAAATTTAATTTGTTAAAGTTTATAATAATTGATATTATTTACGATATTAAATATTTAAACATTAAACTTCAAAATTGTGCTTTTCAATGATTTCCATTTTTAATATTTACATTAATTTACGTTAATAATACGTACTTAATTTAAATATATCAATGTCATCATACAAATACGGTTTATAATTTTTTTTGTTAAATAAAGATTTTTTTCTCATTTTTACTACATGTATTATATATTTTTTAACTTTTTATAGATATTAATTATCTATTGCTATTTTGTATACTTTATTTTATACCCCCAATTTTATATTACCTTAAACACTAACTTCATGTCTTATAAACTTTGATACAATAAAAATATTTTTTAAATTCCGTTAATTATTAAATATGATATATTGTTTCTCAGATTCTATTCTATTTAACATTAATTGACTATAAAAATTAATTTAAAAAATTGTTTAATTTAAGAATACCTTGTTATAATAATGAAATAAAAAAACCTAATTTATAATAATGCAATAATTTTTATTATTTGTTTAGCTCTTTAGTAATACAATTTAATTAAAAAATTAGTTACATGTAACGTAAAAAATTAGCACAATAAAATAGTATCGAAAAATTGCATTATGGTCCGAAGAGATTCGATAAAAATTTTATTTTTTATTAGGATTACTGAGATCTGTCCCTTTATCAAAATTAGTACACATTTGCGATCTGCATTATACTAATCATTGTACATATACTGTTTGTTACTTTTTAAATATTACATTTTTAAATAATATATTAACATATTACCTAATAATTGCTTGTACCATATATGTTTGTAATTGAGAATCCATTTTAGAAATATGATCTAATGATGTATGGAATATGTGATCACCTCCTCGACGATTATTATGACGTATATTATGACATTGTTGACAATATCGTATTGGATGATTACCATTATAGCTCGTACATTCTATTGAAAAACAAACACTTATTGCAGCTTTATCACTAGCTCGACAGTTCTGAAAGTAACAATTTCTTTTATTTTTTAAAGTATGAAACATATTCTGGTTTAATATATAAAATTAATAATATATTTTTCGAAATACATGAAAATTATACATTTTTAGATTTATTTATTTAATATTAATCTTAATATTAATATTAATATTAATATTTTTTTTCTTGAAACATCTAGTTATACATTCAAGTTTTATATATATATAAATGAAAATATGTATTTATTGAAATATATAAATATTTATTTGTTATGGTATTTGATGATTATACTATAATATGTGTTAATAAATATATGAGTTCTTAACACTTATATTGAATTTTATATACACGAATTTAAGAGAAAAAAATGAAATTTGTTCTAATATCAAATTAGTATAAATTATTATTCAGCTTTTTAAATAACAATCATTAATTTACAGTGAATTTTAGACAAAGTAGGTCACACGCGCTGTACGGCGCACTGCACGCGCACTCGGACGAATATTTATAAACTCAACTCGACAAGCTCGAGCAAGTTTTATGACATGAAATCTAATATACTATAAGATCACACAAAGGAAGAACTGTTGCCGGCGTTGCATCCTGCTGCATGTATATTTAAGGTTAGCTCGCCATATTGCGATACTCATTGTAATGCTACTTCGCACTCACTAAACTGTAATTACCGCTCAGCGTATTAGTATATACTATGACGAAGACACGGGGCCATAAATTCGACAACCTAGTTAATAATATACGTGTGCATTATTAAAAGGAAATCGGCAGATTTAGTAGTGATTTACAGTGAAGCTAGTTGGAATAGTAATCAAAGGGGACATCAAGTACGCAACAAACTAACACACCTTATTTGCAGCTCACAAGGTACATTTTTTATGTTAATAAAGAAGCCAGTCACATCTTGCACAAGAATAAATAAATTTCACATTTTCTCGGTCGAACCAACGCTTCGACCCCGTACGGTCTCTCTTGTTCGAACTAACGCTTCGACCCCGTACAGCCCCACAAGAATAGGTCGGGCAAACTTACGTTCTTTCTCAGTCGAACCAACGCTTCGACTCCGCACGGTCTCTTTCGGTGTGCGGTGCGACACAAGTGACGCAATTCGTCAAGCACATTGTCAAAGCCAGACAACAATATATTGAATAATCGACTGCAAATACATTTGATTAAGTCCTTCAACAGCACGAAGGCTTATCATTAATTACTCTTATGTGAGTAACCCTTCTACTGCTCCCATAAATAATTAGAGACGAAATTGATTACTCACCAAGTTCCATTAAACATCTTACACCATATCAAGTATAGTTATTCCATACATCAAGCATACTTTATTCAAACACCATCTTCTCATGCTACCTCACAAGCATGATTGATTGACTACACCAGCTGATATTTACAACATCAGCATAACCTCAATTACAAGATATACAGTAATATGCATAGAATCTAAGATAATAAAGTATGCAAGGAAACACCCTCAGTACTACAATAGAATAATCTTCTCTCAACAACATTGCAATATTATTATTATAATTATTAACAAATAATAAACATTGTTTTACTAAAATACATAATATTTATCAGCCCTTTCACTTATTATTTCCTTTAAAGTTATCCTGGTGAGAGACTAATCCACTGAACTATTGAATTGGCAGTTCGAGCCATAAACTAAACCTTTAAAATCGAACAATAACAAATAATATGATTTTTAATCTATAATTAATTAAATAAAAAAATTGCTTATAATGATCTTTACTAACATTTTCAATTCGTGCTATTATTATTATTATACCACGGAAAGAGGAGAGAGTGTGTGTGTGTATGAGACAGAGAGAGAGAGAGAAAGAGAGAGAGAGAGAGAGAGAGAGAGAGAGAGAGAGAGAGAGAGAGAGAGAAAGAATCTTTACTTACATAGTACAGATATTTAAAAAACAAGGTTTTATCAATATACGAATAAAATAAATAGGGACTTGAAGCACGCGTCGAAAAGTCGAAATACAAGGTAAAAATTAAAATAGATATAGATGAATTAATAACAGAAATGAAAAATTAAATCATAGTGTGGTTATATAACCGGCAATTATTAATCTAAATGTTTGGCACAAGCGTTTGAATCTGTATATATGATTACATACACGTCGTTAACTTCTTTGTAGATTAATACTGCAATCATATTTTCTTCCTTTCATTTTTTTATTTATCTCACATTTCCTAAATTCATTCTGTATATATTTCATAATACTACTCAATAGTTCTTTTGTTTTACTATCTTCTTTCAAATTTCTCTTCAAATCGTTTTTATTATTATCTTTTAATTTATTTTTCCATCAAATACATTTGGATTTTAAACAAAGATTAATTAAAATTATCCTATTATTTTGTTCTAAATTCCGATTACAGATTCCGTGAACCATTGTTATTTCCTACTTTAAGTTGCTAAACACTTTTCTTCATCAACCCGGTACTTAGGAGATTATATACACTATATACAAAATACTTATGGAATACTATAACAATTTAACATTCAATATGTAGAAATATTTATTATATTTTTTTTATAAATATACATATCATATCATCCTCATTTGTTATCAATGTTAGTGTTAGTAAATTTATATAATGATAAAATATACTACTGTAAAAATTGTATTTTTACCTTATTTTCACAAACTAATGATACTTGCTGCATAGGATGTAATATATCATAGAACATTTGATTTGGATATTCTCGATGAATTTCATTAGCGCACTCTATGCATAAATATAATGGAGGTGGCGAATCAGATGAAAAAGTAATTGATATTGAATGATTATAGCAAACTTTTCCAGCTTCAGCACTACCAGAATTAGGGCAATCATCTCGCTTGCAAGTAAATGTTGAAAAATCATCTAAATGAAATCATAATTACTAAATTATTCCATAGTTACAAAATTAATTACTTGATACTCTTAATAATAAATATTGAAAATAATTTTTCGGTTTATTATAATAATTATATATATACATATGTAAATATACATGCATTAGATACATGAATTACATAGACTTTGTACGTACTGAAAATTAAAAGGATAGATTTAATAATTTTAAATCCAACTTATACCAAGCTATAGTAGATTCTGGTTTTATGAATATCAATAAATTTTCTTATTATAGTAGATTCTTCTTAAATATAGTCATAGATATAGTCTTCTTGAATACCAAAAATATTGGTATTTGCTTTTCAATTCGTATATATAGATGTTTAGAATTCCAGTCATCCGGTGTTCAAAGGACCAAGAGGAGTGGATTCGATTATGACCACCAGTTGTCTGATGAGGGAAAGAAAAGCGAGCAAGTGGAAGGGATAGCGCATTTATTCAATAATTACATACATATGCTTGAATGATTCTAAGATGGTGTTGAGAATCCGTGAGATCTTGCAATTCGATGGCAGTTGTCACGTGGCGATAGCATGTACTACATGCAGAGATAGGAAGTTGTTAATATCCGGATCCTCTTGACGTAGTGTGCTTGGAGTTAATTATTATACTAAGAAGTAAAAAATCGTAAATCCCTACTTCGTGTAGTACACGTGATAATAACTTGTTGTGGTCTCCTCACTGGAAGGGCCTAAGACGGCCTTGTACTAGACGCACTACTGTTAGGAAGGCCTTTGTTGGCCTAGTGTTAGGCACTATTATTGGAAAGGCCAGACACGGCCTTGTACTAGACGCACTATTATTGCAAATGGCCTTCTTGGTCTTATGTTACTTCCGTATGAGATGCTAATGTTACTCACAGCGTTCCAGTTGCCTTGCTTGATCTTGTAACGAGGAATGCCTTGATATTCCGTTTCTTGTAGTCGTGTACGTTCTTGTAATGCACTCAGCGCCCTTCAATGCTTCTTAACTGTTGCGCACTTAAAGAGATCACGATGTTGAGACTTGAACGTATTATTTATAATATTATTTATAATGGTTTCACTGTTTTAGCGTTACTGATGGAAAAGCTTATAGCTGTAAACTGTGGCTGAATGACTTGATTACAATGAGCGCCTACAAGCCTGTTGAAAACGAACACGAAACTAAATGTGTGTTCATTCCGTGGCGTCTCTACTGATAAATAGCGACTGTTCCATGGCGGTCCTGCTAAGACAGACCGTGATCCGTCCCATGTCGTCTTCATTGAGAGAGATTGACCGAGAGAGAGGTTCGTCCCGTGCTTTCTTTAAATATCCGCGCGGCAGCTTACTTAGTTGAAAACAATGCATAGGTGTTGCTATGTCGAAAGTCATACATGACACCAAAGACTATAACTTTACATCTTTAATGAAACAAGAAAACATCAGGAAAGCAAAGCTCTACAAATTTTCTAGAATTCAAAACGACGTTGCTATGCTGAAATATTGTAAAACACTCGAAAATAAGGCGTTCGCATATTCGAGAATTCGCGGAATACTTATCCCAATATTCAAATTCTTCTCTCTCAAACTCATTCCGCCCGCCATCAGCAATTTGTTGATGATTATTTCCCTTTCTCAGGGGATTTATGCATTGGCAACGTAATTCCAGTCCAACGTTGTTCCAGTGTAATCCCAGAATGTTGGTTATGCAATCGACAAATTCAATTGATAAGTCCTGTTTTTTATCTGTATTGATATTTTGGCATTTTGCCATTGAGAAACCACCCGCCATGCAGAGGTTCCGCAGTTGTAGTGCGAATTTGCTTAGCTGTTGCGGCATGTCCGCACCTCCAAAGATGTCATCGACGTATCTGCCATGGGTAATGGATGGCACAGCCAGAGGGTATTTTTCTTCCTCGTCTTCTACAAGTTTCAGCAATGTTCTCTTTGCTAAAAATGAAGCAGCTCACATGCCATAGGGAACTGTGATGAGATGATATGGCACTTCCTTGTGTTGTTCATCGACCCAAAGGATTCTTTGCAGGTCCCAATCGTTTTTGTGACCTTTTATCTGCCTATACATCTATATAATGTCAATAGCGAATAGAGATCGATGTCTGCGCATCCACTGTAATACATCTGAAATGTCTGGCTTTAGATTGACGCCTGTGTACGCAAGGTCATTGATAGAGTATCCTATTGTTGATGCACTAGAGTCGTTGAATATCACTCTTATTCTTGTGGTGGTGCTGTCTGGTTTAAGTACACCGTGATGTGACAGATAGTATTGAGGTTAATGTTTGACACTGAAGAAGCTCTCTTCATCTGTTTCAGTTCCTCACATTCCGCCATGAATTGCTGATATCGTTGCCGATAATTTGCGTCTATTGACAATCTTCTCGTTATATTTTACAGGCATCGATGGGCAATATTGTAACAATCGCCAAAGACGTTAAGAGATTCCTTGAGTGGAATCCTGAAAGTGTATCTCTCTGTTGAGTTACGTGAATGTATTTTTTTTATAACAATCCTTACACCATTGCTCATCGGGTGTATATCGATGATCTTTGCATTTTGTCACTTGTTCTTGCACCCTTTTCCCCAAATTCTTGGAAAATGCTCTAATTCCGAATAATACATATATAATAATTTAACTACTACTTTCAATAGAAACAAATGTCGAATTAGAGTTTACAATTAATTAGAACTTTTATAATTTTTAAATTTATTTCTTAAACATATTGAAAAATAAATGAATATTAATATTTAATTAACGCCTATCTAATTCATATTAATTCAAATTAATACTGACTTGTAAATTTCATTATAACTGATTTTCTATCAAACAGATTACAATTAAATGTTGGCCAGTAATAAAATAATAATTTTGTAGCAGACGTTCTAGCAGATCTTGAACCATAAGCTATTACACATACAATATCGTTTGCAACTTCGGATTTAAGAGCCATTAAACACTCTAGTAATTGACAATGATGCGCTGTAAACATAAATTGAAATAAAATTATATTAAAATATAATTCACATTTGTAAATTTGGCTTTTTAAAAAAATATAATAATTTAATTATAGAAATGACGATTGCTTTATTAAAAAATACTTTAAATCCATTAATTCTAGCACACTAATTTAAGTACACTAACTGCTAGAAAATAAAGTAAAGAAAGCTAAAATATTATGTATTAACCAAAAAATGTTATATTTTTAGATAGATTATAACGAAATTTTAAGAGTTAGTGCATGATAATGATAAACATTATTTCCACATAAATATAATAATTATTTCAGAAATTTATGCCAAGAAAATGACACGAAAAATACAAATAATTTTTAATTACATTCTGTAATTTTATTAATAATAAAGAAAACTATACATTAAAAATAGATACAAATAAGTAATAAATTTAATTAAATACCAGAAATATATTTTTTATTTTACATATTTTTTTCACTCTCTCCTTTTCTCTCTATTAATATTTCATTTATTTAAACTCTAATTTGAACAAGTACCGATGAAAAATTAGACTCTAAAATAGAGAATACGAGCTACTAATTTCATGGAAATGCAGGAATAATAAAATTTATTAAAACAACGAACATGCCGAATTTCAATTATTTTGCTATTTAATAGTTATTTGTAAATAATAAGTTAGTTATGAATGTGAAAAATGATATTTATACTAAAATAGAAATATATGACATATTTATATGTTTCAAATTGATTACATTTAAAATTTGTTGTTATGTATATTTCAATGGCAACTTGTCTGGGATCACACTAAAAACACTCCCAGTGATATTAGGTGGGGGGAATTGCTGGCAAGTGGAGAAGGCAGACGCATTCATTCAATTCAACACACAGTGTATCTTGCTGTTCTTTCCCTTTATTTTACAGACTAGACAATGAATATGATTCTAAGATGATGTTGAGAATCTGTGAGATATTGCAATTCGATGGCAGTTGTCACGTGGCATTGACACTACATAGAGGGGTAGGAGGTTGTAAATCTTCTACCCTGATCTACTGCGCCTCATGATAAATCGTTACACTGAAGGCGAAAGATCGTAAATCTCTAATACTTCTTCGTGCCGCGCTTGTGCCTTCAATTGTTCTTATAGCTGGTGGCTGAATCACCGCGACCGTTCGCAGGACTTCACGAACTAACAGTGCCTAACTCGGCTGGCGCGCTTGCGCCTTCATGTACAGACTACACAATAAATATGATAAGACAAATAATTATAGGTGATGTTGGAATCTGTGAAATTCCTTCAGTAGCATGAAGTGTAAATCTCTCTCCTTCTGCACTGGTAGCCGGTGCGTAATAGTTCCAAGTGCGGCTGTTCGCGGGAGCTTCGGAACTGATTTCTTCACTTACTAGACACGTGCTACGCTGTCGTTCATTCTCCTTTGCTGTGTAATTTCCCCTTTGGTTTTGGCTTCACGGTAATGTGTTTGTCTTAGCTAAATTTGTTAATAAAGTATTGGTGTTACGCTTCAATTAATATTCACTCTTGAATTAAACTTAGCACTCGTGTCTGTTTGAATATAATCGCACTTAAATGATTATAATTTCTTATGGTTTCACTGTTGGCTTATTAGATTATTATTTTATAGTTGGCAGAATTATGTAAGTATATTATAATTAATTTACTGGTATGTGGCGGAGTTAATAACTGATAATTGACTGATTGATAAATGAGCAGTAACTGATGAGTGTATAAATGTTGAAGATACAGTGAGCAATAATTGATGTGTAAACGATTGGTGATTTTACAGTGAGCGCTTGTACGTGACGACCTGCTTTTAAATATTAGCGTGGCAAGCTGCCACAGTGGCAGCAGTGCTCGAGCTTGTTATTAGGCCGAAAGTCTTGATGACGTCAGAACGAAGCTACAGAATATTCGAAAAGTCTAGAAGGACACTGCTTTGGAAGGTTCGAGAAATATCAATCGTTGTTGCTATGCAGAAATATTGTAGAGCGCTAGACAATAAGGCGTAGACTATTTAAGAATTCGCAGAATCAATGTTTACAAACGTAAGCATCCGAGAGCTTGTACTTTTCCCATTTTTAAACTCTTCGACGTTACTCTATTCCCGAACACTACTATTTTATATATACATATTAAGGCCCATATTATTTGCTGATAAGATACTAAATTTTATCATAGTGAATTTTGATTTTAACTTATAATGGTAGTAACTATTCTTTAAAAAAAAAAAAAACCGACACTACTTCTCTGTTATTTGGTATTATATGACCATTTTCATATATATAATCTTCATAAGTTATAATAATGATGTCAATTTCTGACCAGAATTACATATATAATTTTTTACACCCGTATTGAATCGCGTAAATAAAAATATTTTTGCTTATGTTTATTCTTATTATTGTTTAAATAAATTTAAAGGTGAATTTATAAATTTTACAATTATTCAATTGAAAAAGCAAGTTATTACATTGAGCTCTTTAAGTTTATCTTAATTTTTCCTAAGCTTTTATTTTAAGTATTAGCACATTTTTAGTGTTTAAATTAAATTAGTATTATTTTCTACTTTCTACAAATATTAAAATAAGTCAAATTTTCATGAGAAATTTTTTTCATTGTCTTTTTACATTTCTCATCATTTCATTGTATTATATTTTAGTTGTTCGGACTTCCACTCACTCGGTGGTCGAATGACCAAGATGGTTAGAATAGACTATATCCACCATTTTACTAGAGGAACAGTGTGAATAAGCGAAAGGTTAATGCTTCGATTCAGTAATCAACACAATTGCTTTTTATGCTATTTATTGGGTTTTAATTTACAAAGATACAATTATAATTTCACGTCGGTGGTTAGAATCGTTGAAATTTTGCTGTTCCTAGTGGTTTTATACGTGGAGGTAGCATGCACTGCAAGTCTAGGTTGGAGGTTGTTAATCTACAGGTCCTCTTGGTTTAGTGCGCTTACTGGAGGGCTACTACACTCAGAAGTGAGAGATTATAAATCTCTGGATATATCTTGTGTAGTGCCACATGTTGGTGCTTTAATTGCAAGATGTATGAAAGTATGAAAAAATTCAATACCTCAATGTGTTTTGATAGTGCGTGCTATGGCACTTACAGAGATACAACGTGCAGTGGCAATGTACGAGTTTGATTATCTAGCAACAATGAATAGGTGTGGCTATGTGGAGAGTTGTACAGAATTTCGAGACTAAAGCTTTAGAAGTTTCGAGAATTCTAGGAAAGCAGGCTTTAGAAAGCTGGTGAATTCCAACCCGTCGTTGCTATGCAGATACTAGAGACACATAACAGGACGTTCGCAAGCAAAGCTTTTAGAATGATCGAGAAATTTCGGAATAAGAGTTTACGATTTCGCGAGTTGGCACGATTATAATTTTCAGAGAATTAAAATTGTTGGAAAGTACTCCAATCCTGAACAGTTGTCTTTTTCTTCTATCTTTTTTATGATTTAAATTTATTTTTCGTTCATTATTCATAAAAATATTTGTTTCACTTACATTATTGCAAAGCAATAATAAATAAATAAATTATAAATTATAAAAACTATAAAATATCAGGTATTCGCTACTACATTACGAAATTGTGAAAAACCATATTATGCAAGCATGCTTTGTATGTACTTTATATAATATTATCTGCGTAAGCATAGCAATACTATAAATTAGTGTTCGTACAATAATCTTCATTTTTATTTTATTGATATCTTATTTATATCTTATTCATAATTCAAAATATTATGATTGAAAAATTAAAAACAAATCTAAAATAGGCAAATTTGAAAACTATGTGTTACAGATTACAACAGTTTTAAGCGGAATACAAAGTGAGAAAGGTATGAGCGCGTGCAGCATTGTTTGGTAAACATTGGTCAACGGACTCAACGAATGCTAACCAAAAAACTCGAACATAAGACTATAATTCCGAGAAATATTAACAAATGAACCGCGACAAAGCTATGCGCTATTGACGTCACGAAAAATAGCGGCATAGTAACAGCCACCGATGCGCTATCGGCACATCGATTTCGTCCAAGAATATTTAAGGAGCTGCAGCGCTGCGATTCCTTCTTCTAGTTACAAGCACCCGGCACGATAGGATCGCCACTCTGCTCATCACACAGTTCCCGCCATCACATGCAAGTAACGCCGGCTCTCGTTCTTGCATATTACCTCGCCACGCGGTTACTGCTACCACTTCACGCAGTTCCCGCCACCACGTGCAAGCAACGCCGACGTTCGTCTTGCATAGTACCTTACACCGCGATTTACGTCCGCATGTAAGTAACGTGGAAGCTATTTCTTACCTTACCTGTACACCGCGTGTTAAGCTCTCATTGAGTCCACGAACGTGCATCAACACCACCACTACCTTGGAGCTCACAGACACAAGCTGTGACATGGACTGTGACAATAGAGCTGTGACACAAGTGTGACTGGCCCCACGGACGTTCTCCCACCACTTCGCACAGTACAGCTCACTCTTAGCCGGCTGCCAAGACGGCACTAACTTGCTTCCCCTACAATCACGAGTTCCCCACCACGATTACTAAACCCAAGAAGAAGGGGAATCACGCTTCAGGCCATCAAGAATACATGCACAAACTCATCGTCACCGCTACTACTGAAGAAACACTAATATACTCACTATATCATACACTAATTATAATAATTAATAGATTATTAACTACTCATTACTTATTACATTAATAAAAGTAACGACTACAAACACAAAGGACTGTATTGAATAATTGCATTGCCCCTTCCACTTGCCAGCAAGCCTACACCCACCATCATAAGGAGGTTTTTAGTCTGATCCCAGACAATTTGATCCTTCGAGCCGGATAAGTGGAAATCAGTCCATGCGTCAAATACTATACTAAGGGAAAATAATCATAATTATAACATCAGTGTAACGGATCATTGATTACAAAAAGGAGAGTTTCTTCATCACTGTAAGTACACTATTACTATTCTTACTTTAATAACATGGCCACCCAAGACAAAAGGGATCAAGGATTCAGTAGGTGCAACCATGCGCAGCACAACAATAGAAATGTTAACAAGTGAGCAATTGATGATGGCCCAAACGCAATGGGCGCGGATCAGCACCATCCAAGCGCTAACTGAAAGCCTCGATGCAGAAAGAGCAACCATTAGTCTACCCGAGACTTTAGCAATCAAACACACAATCGATGAGACTCACAACACCTTCAATGGACGATAAGATCATAGTAAGTAGCTGGCTACAAGCGGTATTGCGCACGAATATTTTACAAGGAATGCAGTAATGGAGGAATCCATCTGATACACTAAGGCCACAGCATTGATCATGAAGCTGTGTCAAGAATTGGAACTGCCGACAGCACCAACTACAATGCTCATAGGTACAGAGAGAACACTGCCAGCAGAATAACGCGGAGAAACCTGCCTCCCGGAGATCCCCATTCAAAAACTCAACAGAAATTATCTATCATGGCCTTCATTCAGAGACCTGTTTCAATCTCTAGTACTTCAAAGTAACAAACTAAGTGACATCCAAAAGCGACACTATTTACGGAACTGTCTGGAAGGAGTACCAGAAGAATTAATATCAGGCATGTCAATAGAACACGAGTCATTAGAATCAGCCTGGCAGTTATTACTAAATAAATACAACTCGCCCTGATTAGCTCTGAAGGCGCTCATTTCACAAACAATCACGATCTCATCAACAAGAGTAAGGGAAGTCTCTGAACTGTCAACACTAATGAGCAAATGACGCAACCTGCGAAGATCATTGATACAACACAATGTCCCAAACGCGTGGGACGCACGGATGCTACATGTGGCACTACTACAAGTAGATGAGCAGGTAATAACGGCATGCAAACAATCACTAGGAGATGATAGCTCATACCCACAGTTCCAGAAGTTCGATCAATTCGTAATGGCTCGGTCGGAGCCCTGGAAAACATGTCAATGTGTGAACACACAAGGAATCCTAGCTACACCTCCACATTCTCAACCCCGTGCATCCAACAAAAAATGCGTAAGATTATGTCAGCCATCAACTGCCCACAAGACACCAAACCGAATCAAATCATTCAACAAACACGTACGATGCATCTATTGTCACGGAGTTCACAAGATTTGAATATGTAGCTAATTTCAGCAACTCAGCATCACCAACAGAGTGGGTGCAATAAAAAAGCTAAGCCATGTTATAACTGCCTGGGTAATCATTTACCACGACCCTGCATCGACCAAAGGAAGTGCAGGACATGCCACAAGGCACACCACACATTACTACATGAGTCCGAGAATACCAGTACAAGCGATCCTGTCCAATCATTACGCACCACATGACTAACTAAGGACTCGAGTACAACAGCACCAATGACCCTGCTAGCCACTACAGTAGTTAAGGTAAGCAGACAATCAACCACCTATTAAGTGCGCGTGCTCATCGACACTGGCTCCGAGATTTCACTCATCACTGAAAGGCTATCATGACAATTTAATATAACCCCAAAGAAGTCTGCCATACTTGTATACGGAATAAGCAGAACATCACCAATTCAACCATTAGGAACCATACAATCAGTAGACTCGAGAGAATCAATTATTGTTCATGCGTACATACTCAAGTCATTGTCTATACTACTACCGTCCCACGACCTTCCACTATGTACATGGCCACACATCAAGGGACTACCACTGGCCGACCAAGAATACAACAAGGCCAGGTCAGTAGACATTGTGCTGGGAGCCGACATGTATGGACAAGTGATAATGTCTGACATCATCAAGCACTCACCATCGTCATCTATTGCACAACTGTCCATCTTCGGTTGGTTAATAAGCGGACCAGCCGGCGGTCTCTCACACAGCCACATCAATAACCATAATCAGTAAGGATCTGGAAGATACCCGAAAAATCTACTACTATAATTCTGGGTACAAGAAGAAGTACCACGGGGACTCGACGGCAAACTAAATCCAGATCAACAGCAGTGTGAACAGCACTACGAAGGGAACCAGACACGCGTAGGTGCTGGAAGATACATGGTAAAAATCCCGCTCATAGAATCACCCGACACGCTCGGCGAATCATACAACGTTGCCCATCAATGCCTACTGCGCCTACAAAGACGATTCTTGACAGACGACAACTATCGCACGTTATACACTCAATTCATGACAGAATACGAGAAATTGAATCATATGCGAGGACTACCTGAAAACTACCCGTTCAACCACAAAACTTACTATTTGCCGCATCATGGTATACTGAAGCCGGATAGCACCAATACCAAGCTACGGGTAGTATTTAACGCGTCAGGCCCTTCATCCTCAGGACGATCACTAAATGACATAATGCATACAGGCGCAAATCTAAATCCAGACATTCTCGACGTACTAATCTGGATACGCAGACACAGGCATTTATGCTCCACAGACATCACGAAGATGTACAGATAAATACTGGTCCACCAAGACGATTGGGATCTACAGCAAATCCTATGGATGGACGAACAAGGCAACGAAGTCATTTACCAATTGACAACAGTCACATACGGAACCAGAGCAGCCCCATTTTTGGCTGTGCGAACACTCCTCCAACTTATGCATGACCAAGAAGACAAATACCCACTCGCTCTACCTTCTCTCAAATATGGAAGATACGTAGACGATATCTTTGGAGGTGCGGACAATCTAAACCAATTAGTGGAAACAGCTACACAGTTACGGGACCTCTGCACGGCGGGCGGACTCCCATTGGCAAAATGGCACTCCACTAACGAAGAAATAATCACCGCAATGAAGACACAACAGAATCCCGAACAGTCAGTAAACTTAAGCGAAAATACTACCAAAATTCTGGGACGACATTGGAGACCACACGAAGACGTTTTCACATTCTCAACAACATTGGCCCCTCACGCAACTACCTTCTCAAAGTGCACCATCCTCTCTGACATTGCAAAAATATTTAAGATACTACATCATAAGGAGGTTTTTAGTCTGATCTCAGACAATGATATATTATAATTTTAAATTAAAAACTTAATATATGTACCGCGATTATTAGAATATTCAAATACTAGCATGATGATTGCAGAAATTGACTGACTTGCATAATTTTCTGCTTCTTTTTCTGCTTTGCGATCTAAAAAATATATAATTAAGATATAAATATAAGTATGAATATAACGATATGTATATATATATATTGTACTTACTAATAGTAAATGGTAAAATATAAAAGCACAAATAATTAATAATTTCTTGATGCAATTCTTCTGGTAAAACTGCAATTAAATTAGCTGTTAAATATGGTAGATTTTCAATTAAATCATGCTCTAAAAATGGTAATAAACATGATAAACATTGCAATAGTGCCTGTCCAAATACTGAAAAAGGTTAATTTTTATTAATGTTAATTTAAGATATTAATTTTAAATCATTATATCATAAGAAAGAAAATGCGTGTTAGAAATATAAAAAATTACAATTATAACAACAATCTTATTAATTCTATGACTAAAATGTTCATTCGATTATAAGCAATAAATATAATAATTAATGTGATCAAAGATTAAAGTATATATAATGATCAAGTATCAAGAATCAATAATTTTTCCTAAGATGTATATTGCATTAATTAATTTAATAAATATTGTCTAGAATTAGACAAAAAAACTCCTAGATTAAGGAAGGGTTAGCGCATTTATTAAACAATTAACCCAGTTGCCTATCTTGCTGTTCTTTCCCTTTATTTTACAGACTAGACAATGAATATGATTCTAAGATGATGTTGAGAATCTGTGAGATATTGCAATTCGATGGCAGTTGTCACGTGGCATTGACACTACATAGAGGGGTAGGAGGTTGTAAATCTTCTACCCTGATCTACTGCGCCTCATGATAAATCGTTACACTGAAGGCGAAAGATCGTAAATCTCTAATACTTCTTCGTGCCGCGCTTGTGCCTTCAATTGTTCTTATAGCTGGTGGCTGAATCACCGCGACCGTTCGCAGGACTTCACGAACTAACAGTGCCTAACTCGGCTGGCGCGCTTGCGCCTTCATGTACAGACTACACAATAAATATGATAAGACAAATAATTATAGGTGATGTTGGAATCTGTGAAATTCCTTCAGTAGCATGAAGTGTAAATCTCTCTCCTTCTGCACTGGTAGCCGGTGCGTAATAGTTCCAAGTGCGGCTGTTCGCGGGAGCTTCGGAACTGATTTCTTCACTTACTAGACACGTGCTACGCTGTCGTTCATTCTCCTTTGCTGTGTAATTTCCCCTTTGGTTTTGGCTTCACGGTAATGTGTTTGTCTTAGCTAAATTTGTTAATAAAGTATTGGTGTTACGCTTCAATTAATATTCACTCTTGAATTAAACTTAGCACTCGTGTCTGTTTGAATATAATCGCACTTAAATGATTATAATTTCTTATGGTTTCACTGTTGGCTTATTAGATTATTATTTTATAGTTGGCAGAATTATGTAAGTATATTATAATTAATTTACTGGTATGTGGCGGAGTTAATAACTGATAATTGACTGATTGATAAATGAGCAGTAACTGATGAGTGTATAAATGTTGAAGATACAGTGAGCAATAATTGATGTGTAAACGATTGGTGATTTTACAGTGAGCGCTTGTACGTGACGACCTGCTTTTAAATATTAGCGTGGCAAGCTGCCACAGTGGCAGCAGTGCTCGAGCTTGTTATTAGGCCGAAAGTCTTGATGACGTCAGAACGAAGCTACAGAATATTCGAAAAGTCTAGAAGGACACTGCTTTGGAAGGTTCGAGAAATATCAATCGTTGTTGCTATGCAGAAATATTGTAGAGCGCTAGACAATAAGGCGTAGACTATTTAAGAATTCGCAGAATCAATGTTTACAAACGTAAGCATCCGAGAGCTTGTACTTTTCCCATTTTTAAACTCTTCGACGTTACTCTATTCCCGAACACTACTATTTTATATATACATATTAAGGCCCATATTATTTGCTGATAAGATACTAAATTTTATCATAGTGAATTTTGATTTTAACTTATAATGGTAGTAACTATTCTTTAAAAAAAAAAAAAACCGACACTACTTCTCTGTTATTTGGTATTATATGACCATTTTCATATATATAATCTTCATAAGTTATAATAATGATGTCAATTTCTGACCAGAATTACATATATAATTTTTTACACCCGTATTGAATCGCGTAAATAAAAATATTTTTGCTTATGTTTATTCTTATTATTGTTTAAATAAATTTAAAGGTGAATTTATAAATTTTACAATTATTCAATTGAAAAAGCAAGTTATTACATTGAGCTCTTTAAGTTTATCTTAATTTTTCCTAAGCTTTTATTTTAAGTATTAGCACATTTTTAGTGTTTAAATTAAATTAGTATTATTTTCTACTTTCTACAAATATTAAAATAAGTCAAATTTTCATGAGAAATTTTTTTCATTGTCTTTTTACATTTCTCATCATTTCATTGTATTATATTTTAGTTGTTCGGACTTCCACTCACTCGGTGGTCGAATGACCAAGATGGTTAGAATAGACTATATCCACCATTTTACTAGAGGAACAGTGTGAATAAGCGAAAGGTTAATGCTTCGATTCAGTAATCAACACAATTGCTTTTTATGCTATTTATTGGGTTTTAATTTACAAAGATACAATTATAATTTCACGTCGGTGGTTAGAATCGTTGAAATTTTGCTGTTCCTAGTGGTTTTATACGTGGAGGTAGCATGCACTGCAAGTCTAGGTTGGAGGTTGTTAATCTACAGGTCCTCTTGGTTTAGTGCGCTTACTGGAGGGCTACTACACTCAGAAGTGAGAGATTATAAATCTCTGGATATATCTTGTGTAGTGCCACATGTTGGTGCTTTAATTGCAAGATGTATGAAAGTATGAAAAAATTCAATACCTCAATGTGTTTTGATAGTGCGTGCTATGGCACTTACAGAGATACAACGTGCAGTGGCAATGTACGAGTTTGATTATCTAGCAACAATGAATAGGTGTGGCTATGTGGAGAGTTGTACAGAATTTCGAGACTAAAGCTTTAGAAGTTTCGAGAATTCTAGGAAAGCAGGCTTTAGAAAGCTGGTGAATTCCAACCCGTCGTTGCTATGCAGATACTAGAGACACATAACAGGACGTTCGCAAGCAAAGCTTTTAGAATGATCGAGAAATTTCGGAATAAGAGTTTACGATTTCGCGAGTTGGCACGATTATAATTTTCAGAGAATTAAAATTGTTGGAAAGTACTCCAATCCTGAACAGTTGTCTTTTTCTTCTATCTTTTTTATGATTTAAATTTATTTTTCGTTCATTATTCATAAAAATATTTGTTTCACTTACATTATTGCAAAGCAATAATAAATAAATAAATTATAAATTATAAAAACTATAAAATATCAGGTATTCGCTACTACATTACGAAATTGTGAAAAACCATATTATGCAAGCATGCTTTGTATGTACTTTATATAATATTATCTGCGTAAGCATAGCAATACTATAAATTAGTGTTCGTACAATAATCTTCATTTTTATTTTATTGATATCTTATTTATATCTTATTCATAATTCAAAATATTATGATTGAAAAATTAAAAACAAATCTAAAATAGGCAAATTTGAAAACTATGTGTTACAGATTACAACAGTTTTAAGCGGAATACAAAGTGAGAAAGGTATGAGCGCGTGCAGCATTGTTTGGTAAACATTGGTCAACGGACTCAACGAATGCTAACCAAAAAACTCGAACATAAGACTATAATTCCGAGAAATATTAACAAATGAACCGCGACAAAGCTATGCGCTATTGACGTCACGAAAAATAGCGGCATAGTAACAGCCACCGATGCGCTATCGGCACATCGATTTCGTCCAAGAATATTTAAGGAGCTGCAGCGCTGCGATTCCTTCTTCTAGTTACAAGCACCCGGCACGATAGGATCGCCACTCTGCTCATCACACAGTTCCCGCCATCACATGCAAGTAACGCCGGCTCTCGTTCTTGCATATTACCTCGCCACGCGGTTACTGCTACCACTTCACGCAGTTCCCGCCACCACGTGCAAGCAACGCCGACGTTCGTCTTGCATAGTACCTTACACCGCGATTTACGTCCGCATGTAAGTAACGTGGAAGCTATTTCTTACCTTACCTGTACACCGCGTGTTAAGCTCTCATTGAGTCCACGAACGTGCATCAACACCACCACTACCTTGGAGCTCACAGACACAAGCTGTGACATGGACTGTGACAATAGAGCTGTGACACAAGTGTGACTGGCCCCACGGACGTTCTCCCACCACTTCGCACAGTACAGCTCACTCTTAGCCGGCTGCCAAGACGGCACTAACTTGCTTCCCCTACAATCACGAGTTCCCCACCACGATTACTAAACCCAAGAAGAAGGGGAATCACGCTTCAGGCCATCAAGAATACATGCACAAACTCATCGTCACCGCTACTACTGAAGAAACACTAATATACTCACTATATCATACACTAATTATAATAATTAATAGATTATTAACTACTCATTACTTATTACATTAATAAAAGTAACGACTACAAACACAAAGGACTGTATTGAATAATTGCATTGCCCCTTCCACTTGCCAGCAAGCCTACACCCACCATCATAAGGAGGTTTTTAGTCTGATCCCAGACAATTTGATCCTTCGAGCCGGATAAGTGGAAATCAGTCCATGCGTCAAATACTATACTAAGGGAAAATAATCATAATTATAACATCAGTGTAACGGATCATTGATTACAAAAAGGAGAGTTTCTTCATCACTGTAAGTACACTATTACTATTCTTACTTTAATAACATGGCCACCCAAGACAAAAGGGATCAAGGATTCAGTAGGTGCAACCATGCGCAGCACAACAATAGAAATGTTAACAAGTGAGCAATTGATGATGGCCCAAACGCAATGGGCGCGGATCAGCACCATCCAAGCGCTAACTGAAAGCCTCGATGCAGAAAGAGCAACCATTAGTCTACCCGAGACTTTAGCAATCAAACACACAATCGATGAGACTCACAACACCTTCAATGGACGATAAGATCATAGTAAGTAGCTGGCTACAAGCGGTATTGCGCACGAATATTTTACGAATAAAAACTATAAAATATCAGGTATTCGCTACTACATTACGAAATTGTGAAAAACCATATTATGCAAGCATGCTTTGTATGTACTTTATATAATATTATCTGCGTAAGCATAGCAATACTATAAATATAACTCTATTCCCGAACACTACTATTTTATATATACATATTAAAGCCCTCATGATAAATAGTTACACTAAAAGTTAGTGATCGTTAATCTCTAATACTTCTTCGTGCAATGCTTATGATGACTGGTGTACTAGCGGCTTTAATCAGTGCCTTTGTAGGCGGTGTTTTCTCGTACACCTTCAGTCGTGGGTGAGGCAGGAGCTCTGCGATCGAAAGAATGCCTATCGTGGCTAACGCACTTGCACTTTCTATGCCGTTCGAGGTTGGCGCGTTCGCGCTTTTAATTAACTTCACGGAAATCTATTTGTCTTACCAAATTCTGTGATGAGTGAACAGGTATTACGCTTCTTATTTCGTGGTCGTTCTTCCAATGCAATTTGTTACGGATTGCAGCATTTTTCGCGGTATACAACATGGGAGAGGTAAAGACATATACTGAGGTCAAAATATTGCGCGCCAAGTCGTAAACACGATTCTCCGAAATCGGGAATTTCAATACTCAAATAATGAAATTCATATTACAATTCCGACTAACAAGGATCGGCGTACTCTCCAAGGCTAGATTCTAGTGACGTCACTTCAACTATCAGTGTGACAAGAGCAATCCAGAATTCACTGGAATCGCAGGCCTGTACTATAATATTTGAGGAAACGCGATTGACGCTTTCGTCCTCTTACTAGTTCAATCAAGCAGTCATCAAGATCAAATCGCCGTTCTACAAGTCAACGCCTTTACACAGAGATCACCTTCAATTCACACAAATCACCGTCCTACAAGTCAACGCTACTTGCACAGAGATCACCTTCAATTCACACAGATCGTCGCCACCTACAGAGATAGTCTCCCAATACCATCACATGGATCGAACTCACTACACGTAACTCACGCTATTACACACGTCCTTACGTTGTATCAATGCACCGAGATTGACTCCACACGTAAGCTGCGCTATTACACACCTTCTTACGAATCCCAAACACACGGCTCTGTGAACTAAGTAAGCAGCGACACCTAGACCACGGCATCATTGCCCTTCATCCGTGACGTCACACACCAACGCCAGCACCCAGGCCTCTCCAGCTTATCGGTAGCGGCACCGGCGGCATCCTCTTCACGGCATCATCATTGCCCTTCATCAGTGACGTCACGCACCAACGCCCCCACTCGGGCCTCTCAAGATTATCGGTAGCGACAGCGACGGCGTCAACGCACCCCCTTTACAGCGTGACACTATTCACGGCATCATTACCCTTCATCAGCGCATCTCCCACTACCACTACGAGTAGGAGAATCACGCGCCACATCAAGAATACACTTACAAGATTATCATCACCTATATTACCAGAAGAAACTTTCACCTATTCATTGTAACATTCATTCAATCTCACCTCAATAGACCACTGATTGTTTATTATATCATTATATACAATAAAAGGAAAACCAACTCAGACAAAGGCAGTGTTGAATTATTGCATTGTCCATTCCACTTGCCAGCAAGCCTCCCCTCAACATCTCAGGGAAACTTTTAGTCTGATCCCAGACACAATTAATCCTTTTAATTAATTAATGAATGCTAATTAAATTAGATTTTAAAATATCTATTAAAAAATAATTATCATTATTTGCTTAATTGTAAGTAATGTCATTTATTAATTAAATCCTTTTTTCATTTATAATACATATATCACGGATGTTAATTAATACATTTTCTAAAACAATTTGTTACGGATTACAACAATTTTAAGCGAAATACAAAGTGGGAGAGATATGAGCGCACGAAGCATTGTTTCGTAAACATTGGCCAACGGACTCAACGAATGCTTCTAACCGTAGAATTCGAACATACGACCATAATTCCGAGAAATAATAACAAATGAACCCAACAAAGCTATGCCCTATTGCCGCCACGACTAATAGCGGTATAGTAACAGCCACCGATGCGCCATCGGCGCATCCAGTTCCTATGAGAATGTGAAGGGAGCTGCACGTGTCGCGATTGCCCTGGTAGTACCAATCATGCACTCTTCACAACGGGATCGCTATCCAACCTTGCCATCGCCATTGGGAGGCCATGGCAAGCATCAAGCAACCTAAGGGACTAATAGTGATACCACAACTATACTGGCACCCACGTCTCCATAAGCAACGCAGATACTCGTTCCTTACTACTTCTGCTAGTACAAGCACCCAGCACGACTCACGTTCTTGCATATTACATCACCACGCGATTACTGCTACCACTTCACGCAGTTCCCGCCACCACGTGCAAGCAACGCCGACGTTCGTTCTTGCATAGTACCTTACACCGCGATTTACGCCCGCATGTAAGTAACGTCGAAGCTATTACCTTACTTGTACACCGCGTGTTACGCCGCATTGAGTACACGAACGTGCACCAACACCACCACTACCTTGGAGCTCACAGACACAAGCTGTGACATGGACTGTGACACTAGAGCTGTGACACAAGTGTGACTGGCCCTACGGACGTTCTCCCACCACTTCGCACAGTACAGCTCACTCTTAGCCGGCTGCCAAGACGGCACTAACTTGCTTCCCCTACAATCACGAGTTCCCCACCACGACTACTAAACCCAAGAAGAAGGGGAATCACGCTTCAGGCCATCAAGAATACATGCACAAACTCATCGTCACCGCTACTACTGAAGAAACACTAATATGCTCACTATATCATACACTCATCATAATAATTAATAGATTATTAACTACTCATTATTTATTACATTAATCAAAGTAACGCCTGCAAACACAATGGACTGTATTGTATAATTGCATTGCCCCTTTCACTTGTCAGCAAGCCTCCACCCACCATCATAAGGAGGTTTTTAGTCTGATCCCAGACACAATTTATATATAGAAAAACAAAAAAAACATACATACTCATTCGCGATGCCCCATAATATATTTATATGGTATGCAAACCTAATAAGAATAACCAACTTTATATCAAATCAATAATATTTGTATAATAAATAAATAAATTATTCCTTTCTACTATTTTTCTATTAAAAATGAAATTATAGATTTTAACTAATTTCGAAATAAAAATTTTAAATAGTATTTAGATTATAATATTATAAAAATTACTTTAATACTTTTATTATGTTAAATAAAAATTATTAATACATACATTTATCTGATAATACAATTTAGATTTTTGAAAATTTCAAAATATAATAATGTTAATTGTTTACATTGTTATATATTACAATATAAATTAATAATTATTGTTTAAAATATTTCAATATAATCAAACCTTTTAAACCATGCAAATGAATAGATGGAATAACATCTGTTAATTGCGAAAGAGCGTTGTAAAGTTGTTTGTAATCTAAATTTGGATGTAAAGACATTCTCTCTGAATCCAATTTTTGGAACTTCAACATTTCATAAGGAGATTTCTCAACGTCTTTTAAAACTGCTGTAAAAAAATTTTTTTAATCACGACATACTCTCATTAAAAATTAGGAAATTATATATATATGAATTTAATACATAAATTAGCCAAATCATTTTACAAATTTCTGGAAACCTGCTTAAAATTTTTTTAATTGTCATTTAAATATTAATTCTTATTTTATTTCTTATTCGAACTATCTTTTTTTTTAATGAGCTATGAAAAAATATTTTTTTCTAATTAATGTTTTCAATAATAAATTGAATAAATATACTTCATATATGAAGTATTTCATATATGATTAAAAATGATTTTATAAATGTTAATCTTATTTTTCCATAACTCAATGAAACTCTAATTTCTTATATTTTAAAAAGTTTATAATTCGCTATAAAAATATAAATAATTTTCAAAAATCAAAAGAATTTAAAAGGTTCCAATTAACAGTGTTCCAGCTCCAAACTTTGTAACAAATATATGTATCAAACATTGTAATAAGCATTTTTTTCATTTACAAGCTACATTTACAATATAGTATTAAGCTGAACACACTGTGAAGCATGTATGAGAAATTGTTACACTCTTACATAGTTTATAATAGTGTGATTTATAGTATAATCAATACCAAAAGATTCTAATCAGCCTATCGTATACTTTCTATTTGGAATCCTGAATATAAATTATATAATGTTTTGTTACCTTGCCGACATCCTCGTATGTGTTAAACAACTGACGTTGTTAACAAAATTATGGAAGAGTATAATGATATTCATTATGGCAAGATTTTACTTATCTACTGATTATCTAATACTTTAATAAAAGAAATCAAATATTGCTGCTATAGTTATCGGCTCGATTCTGACACTCTGATTTTACACTTTTACATTGATTTTTCTATATTATTTATAGTATACAGCTTCCTTGTAAAATCATAAACACTTCCATTCTTTATATATAACATTTTTTATTCTTAAATATTAAATAATATAAAAAATTGTTTTATAATAAAATATAAGTACTTACTCCATATAAAAATTAATGATTGATTTGGTAAAGAAAATCCGATATATCAAAAATAAATAAACATCTATCTTAAAAACGTATATTAATATTTTAAATGCAAACTATAACTAATAAAAAATTATGAAATTTAAAAAAATCCAATTAAACATAAATAAAAAATTAATAAATTCTTTTAAATCAATTTATTTCAAATATGATATTAAAGAAACACTAGTATTCGGAATTGGAGCATTTTTCTCGAGGCTTTCGGTTCTCGAAACTTCACCCAGCCTTCTAGCCCTTGAATGCTTACATTTGCTTTCTGCGAATTGTTTACTGAAACCGTAAGCTCAAAGCTTAGTTTCACGAACGTTCTTCAAGGCTGCTTTGCCTTAACATAGCAACATCAATTCAATTCTTGAATCTTCCAAGATTTTGCTTTCGTCGAATTCTCGAATAGTTCAAGCTTAAATTCCCGAACCTTCCGCAAGGTGGCTACCTTCGCATAGCAGAATCTAAGTATTGTTGCTAGATTTAGCTGCCGCGCTGATACTTAAGGAAGCGCGCATCAAGACTCCTCGAAGTTATCAGCAGTTACTCAGTACACAGTGCCAGTTATTCTTCCGAATAACATTAACATTAACACTCGTGATATTTAACTCGTTTCGAAGTGTCTCAGCTTTTGATATTTCTCTTTAGTAATACTCTCTCAATATATTAACCCTTGAGACATTTCATACTCAGTGAAGTTTAGTGAAGGTCTATTTAGCGCTATTGTCAGACCGACTTATACTTCATCGGATTGTTCATTAACACTGTTGCTGGAACAGTAGTTACCGCTTTGGAAGAACCACGACAGAAACCCACATATCGATAACACAGTACAAGAAACTGTAGTTATCTATTCCAAGGGAGCCACGACAATCCGCCTATCAGAGTCCGAAGACGAATCAACGATTAGTCTTTGTAAGTAGCATCGACTACAATAATTACACATATATTGAGATTCAGAATATTA